TTTAAACTATCTGGGTAAATATATTTGAAGTAGTCTTAATTCACCTCTAGTTTATCAGTTTATGTTCTGTGTGTGAGAGAAACAGTTTTGTATGGCTGAGAGGTGATTTTTGTGATTTGAAGGTATTTTTAGAATGTTTTATAACTCTCATTCTGGTTTTATAAAAATTGCCTAATTGTGGCAAAGAATTCATTTGAAAATTTGCCATCTTAGGCACTTCCATGAATACAGTGCAGTAGTGGTGACTCTACTCACCTTGTACTGCGATGCTTCCCTAAAGTTTTTCATGTTACAACAGTCATAACTGAGTGTCTATTGAAACAGCTGTCCCGTCCCCTTGCCCGCATCTGTGGAAAACATTGTTCCATTTCCCTGGGGTTGACTATTGAAATGCCCCACATGTGGAATCGTACATCTGGCCGTGAATTGTTTCGCATGTGTATCGGCGGGTGGGATTGCTGGTCAGAGCACAGTTCTGTTTTATGCTTTCTGGCCTCCACACTGTTCTCCCTAGTGCCTGAGGCGTTTTGTGTCACCACCTGTCCTGCACAAACGTTCCACTTCCTGTACCTCCTCACAAGCCTCGGTCGTTTCCTGTTTGCCCGATGGAAGCCACCCCAGTGGATATGAGCTGACTCATTCTGGCTTGGCTTTGCGTTTGTCCAGTGATTGGTGATTTCAGCATCCTGTCGTATGCTCGTGGCCTATCTGTGCATTTTCTTTGGTGTTACTTCTGTTCAGCGCTTTGCCCATCATTTAGTTGGGGTAGTTTTGAGCTTTCAGGCCTAGGTTTTGAGGTCGATTATAGTGCACAGTTGGTAAGAATGCCCTATTAGAGGCATTAGAATCAGCACTCCCAGCACGGGTAGGTCTCGGGGAAGGCGGCACAGCGCAGAGAAGGCGAGTAGGGACCCTAGCATCTCACTGCGCTGATGGACAGTGCCTGCTGTGGGGCTGGGGGAATTGGTAACATGGGTGAATGTTGAAACGACAGTGTTGCTCATGTGAACGCTCCGTAAGAGTGTATGTCAGTAATACCGTACTTTAAAAACAAGTAAAAATAAAAAAAGAACGCCTTATTATATCTGTGCTTCCAACACCCGTCCTCTGTTTCTGTAGGCGGCCTTTTCCTTTCGGCAGTTGTTTGATGTGCAGACATTCGGGGAGGGGTGGTCCCATTTATGCACTTCGGCTTTGTTCTCTTTCGTTTTCATGTCACATTCAAATGCAGTGTTGAAAGATTTCCCGCCTGATTTCTAGCAGGGGTTTTCCTGTTACAAGTCTTAGATTCTTATTGTGTGATCCATAACGAGTGGATTTTTGTCTGAAGAAATGGTTTAAGCAAAGTGTCCTCCTTCGTTCTCCTGCATGTGGACATTCATGTTACTCCCGACCAGAGCTGAGGGGCTCCCTTGCAGGCTGTGCCCTCGGCTCTCTTGTCGCAGCTCACTTGGCAGGACACGGGGCTTTAATGTGGCCTCTCTTGTTCAGCTAGTCTGTGTGTCCCTGTTTAGGCAAGTCCTAGTGTCCATGGGTTAGTGTCGCCTTGTTACATATTTGATACTGAGTAGAAGCCTTACACTTAGTCCTTGGAGTTTGTATTTATTATCCATGCTCTCTGGGTTTTAACGCATTTTAGGATTTGTTCTGTATTTCTGGGGAAAGTATGTGTCTGAGATGATATGGTTTGTATTGCATCCAATCACCGGTTTTCCTACTGTGGGTCCCTTAACTATTCCCAGTGTATGAATATGGGATGTCTTTCCTTTCCTTTATGTCATATTTAGTTCCAGAAATGTTGTTAGTTTTCATGTAAACAGTTTTTCACATAGCTGGTTTAGTTTAGTCCTAAGCGACTTACTTACTGTTTGCATTCTATTGGAAATGGAATTGTCTTATTTGCCTTTCTGGACAAGTGACATTTTGTGTATGGATGTTTCTTCCATTTCTTTTGCCATATGTGTTTAATAGAATTGACAGTCAGTGACTGTGTATGTGTGTAGATATTAGAATTTTCTCTATATCATGTCTATTGCCAAGAGAAAGAGATTTGTGTTCCTTCTTTGTAATTGTGTGAATTTTGTTTGTTTTTATTACCTAATGGTTCTGCTTTGGGCTCCCACCTGTATGTCCAGTAGATGCGAAGAGTGAATCCTTGTATGTTCCTGAGTGAAAAGGAAAATCTTTGCTTTCACAGTCGAGTGTGTCACTGGCCTTGCGCTTTGCACGCACTCCCGTTATGATGTTGTGGGGTTTACTTCTGTTGCTTCATTCTTGAGTGTTTTTACCTTAAAAGAATGTTGAATTTCTCAGAAGCCTTGTGTGCATCAGTTGAGACAGTATAGTGTTCTTCCTGTATGTCCTTGATGTGCTCTAGTATAACGGCTGGTTATTTTTTATTCTGTGTTGTGACCTTGTGCATGTCAGGAATGGCTGCCGCGTTGTCCTGTGGCCTGAGTGTGCACTGTGCTGTCTCATTGTGTGCTTGTGTTTCTTGAGGTTGTTGCATCCATAGTCATCACAACTTTCATGTCATTTTCTGTTTTGGTTGTGTCTTTCTCTGACTCTGGTGTCAGTGTCGCGTTGGACTTACAGAAAGGGTTTGGAAATATTCTGACCCTTTAAGTTTAGAAAGAATTTAGGGAGAAAGGGTGTTAATTTTTCTCTCAGTGTTTGATAAGATTGTCAGGTGAAGCCTGGGCTCCTTTGGGAACTCCTGGTGTGCTATTCCTAATCTCTTTATCTAGTATATTCATATATTTATGTTTTCAACATTCAGTCTTGGTACATTGTGTTTGGCACTTACCCCTTTGTTCTGTGTGTACAGTGTTTTGACATATGATTTCTCTTTAAAAAAAAATCTCCATTGTCCATTTTTATTTTGCATCACTTGTATTGTCTCATGTTTAACCTTTGATTTCAGTTGAGTCTTCAGTTTATTTTTGTTAAACTATGTAAGGATTCTCAGCATTTTTTATGAAAATTTTTCTCAGGGAACCACACTACTCAATTATTTTTTTTCTTCCTATTTGTTTTCTATTTTCTATTTCATTTATTTCTTCCCTAATTTTTTTGGTTTATTGTGGTTAATTTCAACTTTGCTATTATTCTTTTTGTAATTCCCAGTGTGTAAATTGAGGTTGTTGATTTGAGATGTTCTTTGTTTAATATAAACACTCATTGCTATACATTTTCTGTTTAATATTGGTTTCCCTCCGTCCCATATGTTTCTGTATGTTGTGTCTTTGTTTTCATTTATCTCAAGATGTGTTCTAATTTTTCTGTGCCCTTGTCATCTCTGACAGTTGGTGGTTTAAGACTGTGTATTTTATTTACCTCCTTTTTTTTGACTTTCTCATTTCAATCCATTGTGGTCAGAAATGGTGTAGTTTTTACATTTGAAGTTTCTACCAGTCTGTCCCTTCCCCTTTTTCACCCATACATGTGCCCTTCACCCCCAGAAAGGATACCAATAGTCCACTGTCTCTGTTCTTGTGCCTATTTCTGTTTTGTTTCTTATATTGCACATACAAGTGAAATCCTAATTGTCTTTCTCTGACATATTACTGTAATGTTCTCTTTGTCCCTTAGTGTTATTGCAAATGGCAATAGTGCTTTCTTTTTCATAGTTGAGTAATATTCCATTGTAAACATACCATGCCTTTATCCATTCATTTATTGACGGACTATGTTGTCTCCATAGCTTGATTATTGTAAATGATGTTGCAGTCAACCAACAGGTCTGTGTATCTTTTAAACCTGGCAATGTTTTCTGTAGATTCCCAGCAGTGGAACTGCTGTTCATTGTTTATTGTCTTTGGTTTTTGAGAAATCTCCATAACTGCTCCCTGTGGTGAGTACAGCAGTTCACAATTCCATATGAAGCCCAGGAGGGTTCCTTTCACCAGCACTAGTTATGTCTTCTATTTGTGATGTAAGCCATTCCGACCGGTGGGAGGTTACAGTCCTGGTGACTTGTGACATCTTTTCATGTGTCTGTGGGCCATCTGCACATGTTTTTCCACTAGAAGTGGGATATTGAATTTTCCTCTTAGTATTTTGTTCCCATTTCCTTAATTCTGTCCCTGTTTGTTTCCTTTGTGTGCGAGCTCTGATCCTGGCTGCAGGAGTACATACAGTTTGGATGCCTTCCTGTATCTCTTATTGATCATTACATTATGGCTACCGTGTCCTGTGATAGTCTTGCACCAAGTCCATTGTAACTGAAATGGCCACTCCTGCTATCTTGTGGTCACTTTTTATATTGAACATCATCTTCCATCTTTGTCACTGTCAGCCTCTGTGTGTTTCTAGATCTAGAGTGAGTGTCCTGTAGTCAGACCTGGTCTTCGTCACCCACACAGCCTCTCTTCATCTTTTCCAAGTGAGTTTAGTCCCTGTGCACTCAGTCACTGAAGGGGAAGGGAAGCAAGCCCATTGTGTCTCTAAAAGCTCTTCTCTGTGTCTGCGAGGCATCTCCTCCACGTGTTTGTCTGTCTGTGCCGGTCTGTGTTTAGTGGTTTTTCTGTGGTTCTTTTCATGTTTCCCTTTGAATGCCTTCCATGTGTATGTTCCTGAGCATTACATATAACATGGTAAATTTATAACAATCTCTTTACAGATAGAAACAATTACAAGTTGAAAAACTACTGTATATGTGGTGCTCATCACTGAATTCTCTTGATGGCACATTGTATCATCTTATTGTAAATCTCTTAAGTGATTCCTGAGTATTAAACAGCATGCCAGTATTAAAAGTATTTTTGGCTCAAATATACATAACAATATTACAAGTTGGAAAGTCTGTATGTATTTACTACCAGCTGGGTGACTTTTAAGTTGAAATTTGATAAACAGTATTACTGCTTTGAAGTGTAAAACAATTGTGCAGATTACTAAATGTTCATTGCAATACATTTACTGTTCTAAATTTTACATAGATTTTAAAAATATATGTATCTGATTCTTGTGAGGTAATTTTATCTTCTTCTATATTTCAGCAGTGTCTTCTCATTACAAAAAAGAATTGTTACCCCAGGAAGCGATAAAAGACTCATTCCAAAAAGTGATCCTGGGAAGATATGGGAGCTGTGACCAGAGGCATTTACACCTGAGGACACACGGGGACAGTGAGGAGGAGCGTGAAGGGCAGGGTGGCTCTCACGAAGGAATGCAGAGTCACAGAAGGGGTGCCCGTGACAGACCCCTCCCTGTGGGTGGAGCCCATCAGGATGTGTCGGGGAGCAAAGCCCAACTTAAGTCAGTTCCTATTGCTGAACATTGTGTTACTGTGAGTGAATGTCATCATCCCGTTTTGAAACATAACTTTTCTCAAACAGACAGCTCGGAAAATCTTAAAGTTGAGCAAGGACATGATTCTAATAATTTCAGTCATTTTAAATACAGCGAAGCACAAGACATTCAGTCATATAATTCCGAGGACCAAAGATGTAATGATGAGAAAATGTGCCAGTATGTTGAAACTGAAAATTGTTTCATGAAAGATTCATTATTCTTCGATCAACAGGTAATTCCTATTCAATCTCATACACACAGTTTTCTTAACTATCAGAGAGACTCTATCCACCCATCATTGCTTAATGAATGTCAGTATACAGACAGTGAGGAAAAATCTTCCATGTATAATAAAAGTAAGCAGGCCATCAGAACCGGCTCTCTATTAAATAATTGCCAAGGTATGTACATTCTAGAGAGAAGATACCAATCTGTGGAAACTGGAGTAACCTACAACAGAGGATCAAGCCGTAGAGAACATCAGAGAAATGAGATTCCTGCAAACCATTCCCCATGTGACAAATGTGGACAACTCTTCCAGGAATGTGACAAACCTTCTGAACATTTCACAAAAGTGAATAAACATCACAGTATTCACACTGATGAGAAAGCTTGCAAATGTAAAGAATATGTGAATGCCTTTAGCGAATCTTCCCTTTTAAGCAGTCATGAGATGATCCACTCTGGAAAGCAACCAATCCAACATGACGAATGCAGTAAATCGTTCACTAATTCCTCAGCTCTTGCTGTTAGTGAGAGAATTCCTACAGGAGAGAAGCCTTACACATGTAAAATATGTTGCAAAGCCTTTAAGTGGCGCTCAAGCCTTACTAAACATGAGAGAATTCATTCTGGACAGAGACCTTACAAGTGTGAAGAGTGCAGCAGGTCCTTTACTTCTTCCTCAAGTCTTACTGTCCACCAGAGAATTCATACAGGAGAGAAACCTTACAAGTGTGAGGAATGTGGCAAAGCCTTTACTTATTTTGCAAGTGTTAATGTGCATAAGAGAATTCATACTGGAGAGCATCCCTACAAGTGTAGAGAATGTGGCAGATCCTTTAGATGGAGTTCACAATTTACTGAACATAAGAGAAGTCATTCTGGACAGAGACCTTACAAGTGTAAAGAATGCAGCAAATCCTTTACATCTTCATCAAGTCTTACTCTTCACGAGAGAACTCATACTGGAGAGAAACCTTACAACTGTAAAGAATGTGGCAAAGCGTTTAAGCGGGGCTCACACCTTAGTCGACATCGGAGAATTCATTCTGGACAGAAACTTTACAAATGTGAAGAATGCAGTAAGTCCTTTACGTGTTCCTCATATCTTAATGTGCACCAAAAGATTCATACAGGGGAAAAACCATACCAGTGTAAAGAATGCAGCAAAACCTTTGCATATTCCTCGAGTCTTAATTTGCATGAGAGAACTCATACTGGAGAGAGGCCTTACAAGTGTAAGGAATGTGGAAAATCCTCTCAGTGGCCCTCACACATTAATCAACATGAGAGAATTCATTCTGGACAGAAACCTTACACATGTAAAGAATGCAGCAAGTCTTTTACTACCTCTGCAAGTCTTACTGTGCACCAGAGAATTCATACAGGAGAGAAACCTTACAGATGTAAAGAATGTGGCAAAATGTTTACTTATTCCTCAAGGCTTAAAGTACATGAGAGAATGCATACTGGAGAGAATCCTTACAAGTGTAACAAATGTGGCAAATTCTTTACTTGTTCCTCAAGTCTTAAAGCGCATGAGAGAGTTCATAGTGGAGAGAAGCCTTACAAGTGTACAGAATGTGACAAAGCCTTTAAATGGGGCTCTCAGCTTGCTGAACATAAGATAATTCATTCTGCATTGAAACCTTACGAATGCACAGAATACAGCAAGTCCTTTACTTTTTCCTCAGGTCTTTCTGTGCATCATGGAATTCATACAGGAGAGAAGCCTTACAAGTGTGAGGAATGTGACCAATCCTTTAAGTGGGGCTCACAACTTACAAAACATCAAATAATTCATTCTGGACACAGACCTTACAAGTGTGAAGAATGCAGTAAGACATTTACTTCTTCCTCAAGTCTTACTGTGCACGAGAGAATTCATACCGGAGAGAGACCTTACAAGTGTGAGGAATGTGGAAAAGGCTTTAAGCATGACTCACACCGTCATCGACATCAGAGAATTCATTCTGGACAGAAACCTTTCAGATGTGAACAGTGCAACAATTCCTTTACGTCTTCCTCAAGTCTTATTGTGCACCAGAGACTGCATACAGGAGAGAAGCCTTACAAGTGTAAAGAATGTGGGCAATCCTTCACTTACTCCTCCAGTCTTACTGTGCATGAGAGAATTCATACTGGAGAGAAGCCTTACAAGTGTAAGGAATGTGGAAAAGCATCTCGGTGGTCCTCACACCTTAATCAACATCGGATAATGCATTCGGGACAGAAACCTTACAAGTGTACTGAATGCAGCAAGTCCTTTAGGACTTCCTCAAGTCTTAATGTTCATGAGAGAATTCATACTGGAGAGAAACCTTACAAGTGTAAAGAATGTGACAAAGCCTTTAAGCGGGGCTCACACCTTATTCAACATCAGAGAATTCATTCTGGAGAGAAACCATACAAATGTAATGAATGTGGCAAATCCTTTACTTGTTCCTCAACTCTTAGAGTGCATGAGAAAATTCATAGTAGAGGGAACCTTAAAAGTGTAAAGAATGTGGAAAAGTCTTCAGTGATTCATTTAGTATAAATAAATGCAAGAATATTGTAAGTGGAGTGAAACAACACAAGTATAAAGAATGGATCAAAGCATTTCTCCAGGCCTCAGTCCTTAGTAAATGTCAGAAAATTAATTCTGGACAGAAACCTTACAAATGCATAGCATGCAGAAATTTTTTTACATGTCCCTAAAAACTTAGTCTTCATCAGAGAGTTCATATGGAGAGACACCTTGCAAATATAGAATGTTGCAAAGCCTTTATGCTGTGCTCAAGCCTTACTGCACACCAGAAAATTCATACTAGGGAGAAACTTGATTTTTCCAAACATACAGGAAGGAGTTTTGTGTAAACTATACATGTAGGGAACATGAAAGCTTTTATATGGGAGAAAAGAAGCTATAAGCTGACCATGGCAAAGCTGTCAACTGTTTCTCACATACTGTACAAATGAAAATTCATAGTGGAGAGAAAACATACTGATATAGTTAATACAGAAATAATGTGGCCAAAGAAATTGCCCTTAGAAACATGACGGTCTTCATAATGTAGAGACTTTACAGGGGCAACATACTGTTGGAAAGTATTTAAGTGAAAAATGTAAAGTAGCCAGGAATGAACTACATAAGAAAACTCTTAAGACACCACATTTTTTAGAGGTTAGTCTCACAGTTAACAGGGATCAGATAATTGACTTGGTAATTTGTCTCAATCTAAAAGGGGATGTATTTTCGATAATATAGTGTCCTTCATCCTCCAGTGCCGATGCTGTTTGCAAGTTCCAGGCAGTTACCTGTGCTTCTTACCTACCAACTACAGATTAGACATTCCCATGACCCTTGTTGGGTTTGACTAATTTTCTAGAATAACTCGCAGAACTCAGGAAAACATTCACCAGTTTAAAGAAGGATATTGTAAGGGTACAACAGAGATAAAGTGATATACAGGCAAGGTCTCCAATAAAGGAGCTTCTGTCCTTGTGGAAGTTGGGGCCTGGCTCAGTGGCTCATGGAGGCATTCTGGTTCCACACACTGAGAAGGTCTCTTCAGGGGTTTTTGTTAGGCCTTCATTGCATAGCCATGACTGAGTAAATTCTCTATTTGCTGGTTCATCTTTCAGCCCCCACCACTGGGTGGTGGTGCAAATGTCTCATTAACGTGACAAGCCAACCATTTCACCTTTAAGACTGCAATGTTTCCAGGAAATGTGGATGAAGATCAAATATATCTGGGAAAGATATTCATGTGAATGAACACATAATTCGTATGATTCCTCTCACATTGCCCCTTGATGTTCAAATACAAATTCCTTACAACAAAGTGAACATGCCTGTGAGAGTAATGCCATCTGGTAGACCATTTCCACAACAGAACAGTAGGAACAATGCAAATAGCCCTAACATATCCATAAGCCAGTGTGTAGGGGGTCATTTAAAGAGACAACCCCTTTGTCCTGTAAAGCCTTAAGACCACAGTTTGTACCAGATCGATGTAACTGGCTTGCAGGCTGTCAATCAGATTGTCATATTCAAAAAAGCAGTGTTGGTCTTGGCAAACATTTTCAACCTTCTGGGTGTCTGGTTTGCTTTTACTAAGAATATTCTGTTGCTCTGGTCCTCTCTTAAGGCATTAATAAAATACTGGATTTCTCTTCTTACGTAACCCAGTTACTCATTTCACTACTCTCAGCTATAATTTCTCCTCCTCTCCATTTGTCCTTTTTCTTTACCAAGACTCAACTCCTGTGAAAGCGATGTTAGATATGGCTACTTACTAGTCCAGAATACTGGCAGCAATGTCTCTCCCGCATTCCACTTCCACTCATACAGGGTGGAGTTACACAGGTGCAGAGCTGGGGGTCTGTACCAGGCACTAGGCTGTGCAGCTGAGCTCACTTAGCCCCAATTATGCCAAATGGGGTGGAGGTACAGCCCACCAGTCTCTCAAGAATTCAGACAAATGTTTAAGGGTGGGGATCCAGATTCTTCCTGGGAAAACTTCCCTGCTTCTGGTACCTGCAGATGTAGCCCTGCATCTGGGGCCACTGCATCAGGCAGGAGAAAAGTAAAGTGATGTTGGGATGGACTGTATAGTCACCCTAGCATCCTCCCCAACCCCTCTACCCCAGGTCCCCCGAAAATCAGATTGACATATCCAGTGGGGACCCTCCCTTGGGCCCTGTCATATTCAGTGTGAGCACATTATTGAAGATGTGTAAGCAACTCAAGATGTGTAAGCAACTCCTGGCTTTATATCCCCCATTTTAGACAGCGAATGTTCCAACTGCCCATTCCAATTTTCTATTAAACCATTGCTCTGATGAAGAAAAGGGACATGGTGTGTCCATCTGATGTGAGGCCTCCTGGCCCATTGTTGGAAACTGTGGGCTGGAAAACATGTCCCTTGACCTGAGGAGATGTACTCGCTAGTCCTAATTGGTCACTTGTCTTTTGTTCCAATCCTATAATCATATTTTGAGAGTTATTATCTACCACTGGGTATGAAAAGCCCATTCCAGAATAAGTGTGTAGTGCACTGAGGGACCCATTTATGGCCCTGAGCATAAGTGGCCTTGCTCCAGTGTAACGCACTTGCCAGCAATGTGTGAGCCTTCCCCCTGGGGAATTTTCCCCGTAGCCGCCTGCAGTCTTTGTCTTTTTGATACATTGAGTAGTTCTTGGCATGTCTGTATTGCTGCAGCTCCCCCAAGTCCTCTCATTTCATGGACCCAGGTGGCCACTTGAAGGGAACACACCCACAGGTCTCCTTGGTGGTTCCACTCACCTGATCCTGGGAGAGGGCTCTTGTGGGCATGCACTTGTCCTACTTTAATGCACCCCTTTAATTCCAGAGTGATTTTCATAAATTTGTGGCTTGCTGTGGGATTCTGTACTAGTCCTTTTCCCTTGCCCATCTACTTGACCATTAATTCCATTGCGTATGGTCTGTGAGTCAGTAAAAGTCCAAACATCGGGGCTTTTGTCATAGTTTAGTTCTTCCATCACTTCCAGGAGCACAGCATGCAGTTCAGCCCACTGGGCTCATCTGTTCTGACCTTCCTCGACCACTCTTACTCATCTTAAGGAGAACGTTTCCAAACAAGACATTGTCCATCCATCATGGAACTGCCATCTGTAATCCAAGCAGCTCCTTGCTGTTAACTGAACTGTACATGGCGCGGTGCGTCAGGGATGTGCAATGTCGGCCTTAGAGGAAAAGAGGCTGCCTGCTCATGCACACAGTATGGGCCCCCTTGCATTCCCCTGCAGCTCCTCCTGTATGAACCATTTCCATTCTGTTACGGAACTCTCGTGGGCACTGCCTGCATTAAAGTATTTCTCTGATATCACTCAAGAGGTTATGGGTTTGTGATGCTTCAAGGTCATGTCCTTCAATGTTTGAGGCATGCGCAATTCCCAACTGCATGCTGAGAACTGTCTCAAATGGTGTGTACTCGGCAGCACCGTCTGGGGTTTTTCTGACCCCAAGTCCCAATAATCCTTACTTGGAGGTGCTCATGGGCTTTTGTCACAAGCTCCAGTCTGCATGGGTACAGGGGGCAGACACTTCCAAAATTATACCTGATTGGGAGGTCATAAGGTCCCGAAGGTTTCAAGAGTGCAACTGCCTTTTGTATGTAGTTCAGACTTGGCTGGCTTCAGTTCAGGTCCCCACACAAAAAATAGCTTTCCTTTTGTGTCATCTGAAAGATGGAGATAGGCGTGGAGTTTGCACCCTGAAAACCCCAAGTCAACAAACCAAATGCTGCACCTTATGTTTGTATGTAGTGGTCGGTAGTGACAGCAGTTTACCAATAGTCTCTGGTGGAATATCCCAGTGTCTTCTGGTCCATATTATTCATACAAATTCTGCTGTTTGAGCAGAACCCTGGGCCTTTGGAGGATTTATTGACAAGCACTGGATGTTTATATGTGTCACTGTGATCACATAAGGCCTAACCTGCTCCTGTGCTCCTAATATGTATTGCTGCACTCGACACCTACACTGAGTCCAAGTTCCTCCTTACCAAGTAGTGACAATAAGCTGGTGAGTTCAGATAATCCCGGTCACCACAGTAAATGTGAACTGGGATCCTTCCCAGATGAGGGCAAACCGTAGCTCACCCTTCAGAGATTGAATACAGGAGAAAGAATTTGGAAGATCAGTGAATAACAGTGTCCTTAAGCCTGCTATGTTTTCTGTACGGTTGAGACCCTTTCCAGAACTGCTGACTAAGGCCATGGCGGTAAAACTATTTAAACCATGATAGTCTACTGAAAGTCCATGAGCTGTCTGCCATTTTCACAGGCCACACTGGACTGTACAGTGAATTCTTGGGCACTACCACTTCAGTTTATATCATGTTAATAAAATGGCGATCTGTTTTTGTCTATAAGGTGTTCTTCAATATTGCTCCGAGTTACCCACTTTTGTGGGCTGGGGTGTTTCTAAGGGTTCCCATTTTAACATACCCTGTCAAAACTGGCAGAGGCTAGGTCTACATACCTCTTGTTTTACTGTGTTTGTAGGGGAAACAATTGCCAGTGAGACACGTCCATCCTATAATACATTAAAACACATGCAACCACTTCACACAAAATCTCAAATGTCCCGATTTTAATCCAGAATTTTATGTTGACCCATCTACCATTTCATCCACATACCCTCCCAATCTAACAGTCCTTGATTAAGCCTCACAAGTAGATTTTGGAATCACAGCACATTTCGGCTCCCAAAAGGTTCCCCAGGAAAGTTTCTTCCCTTCCACCCAGCAACCCCTTCACCTCTGGCCATATTATCCACACGTACGTACTCTCCGGTTGCTATGTTGGATGTGGTCAGAAACGCCTAATCTTATACTGGATTAATCTGACTGACCAGTGCCCATGGGGATCACTAGTTAGTTTTTCATTGTAATCATGACCTTCGGGCTTTCAAATTCCTGTGAACTGGGTTAAGTATAACAATATTTTGAGCTTTTGTACTGTTGGGCAAACAGTGGGATCTCATGGGTCCATGTAATCTCCATTAGTGCTTAATTAAAACTTTTGTTTTAAACTCTCATCAATATCTGCTTTATTCATCCCATTCTTCAATAACACTCTCAAGCCTTTTACTCCATTGGGCACAGTCCCTGGATTCCGCTTTGTCCCTCCCATTTTTTAGAGTACTTTAACACTCTTGGTTTCAGTGTGGATAAAATCACAGTATTTTCAGAATCTTTTCTCTGGCCTTGGTGCATGTCCATATCAATAGGTGTTTGCAAGAAAAAGTGAGGGCATACCTGAACTGAAGGGGTTGTGTTTGGTAACCATTTTACAATTGGGTTAACAGACCACAGGTGAGCAGAAGTGGGCAAGTGGTTGTGACCAGTAAACAGGATTCTCCCACTTTGATTTCTCCCTTTGACTGATTTTGGCTTCAAAGGTAATTTGCCATCTGGCTGGGAACTATTCTCACCCCCAGAGTTACAATCAGAGACCCTTGTGGGGAAGCTCAGATAGTGAATCCGATAAGGGTTTTCAAACTTCAGTATTGTAGGTGAGTTACATGGGGTGCCCACATAGCGGGCCCCGTAGTCACAGCACCATAACCTGGGTGACAGGAATACTCAGTGGCTGAGTGATTCAGCTGTCATAAAGCCAATCCCACAGGGCCTGCATATGAAGAATACCAGCGTGTTCCATTTGGCATTTATAGGGGGAGATGGGCAGACCCCTTCACAGGGTGAGCAAGCTTTACAGTGGTTTTTATGCCGTCCACCAGGCGGGCTGTTCTCTCGGGTCCCCTCCCGTGTGTCTGGATCACACACACCCACCTGCGACTGTTGGTAGTGAGCTGTGTGTCCTGCTGCAGCCCAGACATGCTCTTCCACTTGGAAACATTCAGAACCAAGGACACAGCCCCCTAACCGGTTACTCATAATCCACTTCAGTACAGGCTCTTCAGGAAGCTTGTGATGCTGATCTACGAAGTGAGCCAGTTCCTTCCCTCTGGGTCCCCTGGCTTCGGTCACTTCCTGGTTTTCTCCTCCTACATTAACTATCATCCCTGTGACCACAGGTCGTAGAGGTCCTTCCTGTTGCTCTGACAAAATCTGTCCCTTTCTAGGTGGCTTTGAGGCTAACGGCCAAAGCACAGATTGACCCAAAGCCAAGCCTGGCTCAGTATCAAACCCTGACTGAGAGCATTCTTTTATTTTCTACTTGGCTATTAGAAATAACAGCCAGGATGGCATATCTGGCTTATTTTCATTTTGTTACATTTCGAATGAGACAACTCAGGAATTGAGTCCACTGCCCTTTCTAAATTCCTCTGGTATCTTTTACCTTTAGTAATTGATGGCAGCGCAGCTGCTGTTTAATACCATGGCTGTTTGGGTAGCCATCCAGGCATCAAAGGTTCCTTATCCCATCCCCTTTCATTCATGCTCTTCAAAAACCTATTTCCGTGGCCCTGGACTGGTCCAGCAAATCCCGCCATCCGCCTCCCAATGTGATGGGGAGCTCAAGTCCATTCAGGTTCCAGGGCCCAATTCTAGTGTGTGTGGGGTGGAGGCGTCCTTCCCACAGACACAGACCAAGCAATTGTTGAACAACATCAGGGCTCTGAGATCTCCATTCTGATGCCCTCTGCCCAGAGGAAATGCAGTCCCCAGGAGAAGGGCCCTGTCCTTCATGACTGCCTTCCACCACCAGTCACCAGCCCCAGGCAGTTGTACCCCTGCGTCTGGCCTGCTGGCTACAGACGGTAGATTCCAACGAACTCTCCCTTCTGTTTGGTTGGTAGAGTTCTTCACATTGACCTGTTTAATAAAAGGTGCTGTAAATGACAAAGGCCAGATGAAAAGATAAGTGAAGTCCCAAATAAAGATGCTTCTATCCTGGTGCAGCTTCGGGCCTGGCTCAGTGGCACCGGGAGGCCCTCCCCACTGAAGCAGGATCCGAGGGAGCTGACAGCAATGTGCACTTGGATGTTTTCATGACGGTTTCATTTCATAGTCTTGGTTGACTGAATAAGTGGCTTTCCACTGATTCAAACTCCAAACCCTCACTGGTTGGGGTCGAAAATTCATTACTATGCAAGCCACTCACTTCACAATTAAGCTCTCCAGCGTGTTCATGAATTGTGGATGAAGAGCAAAGAGACCCGAGAAGGACATATTTGCTCAGGAATCACCAAGCATGTGTTTCTTTCTTTCTTTCTTTTTTTTTTGAGAGGGCATCTCATTTATTGATTAAATGGTTGTTAACAACAATAAGATTCTGTATAGGGGCGTCAATGCTTAATGCACAATCATTAATCCATCTCAAGCCTAATTTTCATCAGTCTCCAATCTTCTGAAGCATAATGAACAAGTTCTTACATGGTGAACAAATTCTTACATAGTGAATAAGTTCTTACATGGTGAACGGTACAAGGGCAGTCATCGCAGAAACTTTCGGTTTTGATCACGCATTATGAACTATAAACAATCAGGTCAAAATGACTATTCATTTGATTTTTATACTTGATTTATATGTGAATCCCACATTTCTCCCTTTATTATTATTATTATTTTTAAATAAAATGCTGAAGTGGTAGGTAGATGGAAGATAAAGGTAGAAAGCATAGTTTAGTGTTGTAAGAGAGCAATTGTAGATGATCAGGTGTGTGCCTGTAGACTTTGCGTTAATCCAAGCTAGACAAGGGCATTAAAACATCCACGGATGCAGAAGATTTCTCTCAAAACAGGGATGGTGAGGTTCTAAGCCTCACCACTGTTGATCCCCAATTTCTCACCTGATGGCCCCCCTGCGACTGTGCCTGTCTTAGGTTGTTCCTCCCTTGAGGAATCTTACCCGTCTCTGGCTAGCCAGTCATCTTCTGGGGCCATACAGGGATATGTAAAGTTGGTAAGTGAGAGAGAATCCATATTGTTTGAAAAGGTTAGCTTTTTACTTCTTTGCAGATTTATGCCCTGTGGCTTCTATGCCGAACATTTGTCTTGAGGTATCTTTACCACTTGGAGGAATTATGATACTCGGTAAATTTGATATGAGGCACGAATTCTATTTAAGGGTTGTAATTAGGAAGGAAGAAGAAAAGCTATAGAAGTAGCAGACGGAAGAAAACATGGGAGGATTGATTATGTCTTTGACATATCTTCTTGTAGAGTAACTTAAGCATGTATAGGTTTTAAACTACTAATTAAATTGTGCACACACATTAACATAATAGGAATACAGTTACATAACCAAAGCAGATCTATAATTACCAGCCATCTCCAGTGAAGCCAAGAAAACCAGTTAGGCACCCTAGGCATTTGTGAAAATTTGTCTATGATATGATGGATATTGTCCAACTGTACTTGAACAGTCTGAGAGAAATCAGACAAATTACAACAACCCATTCCTGGGAACTGTTCACATTCCATATGTTCTTTTAACAGTAGATAGTCTGTAGTCGTAAGATTTTGGAGCGCTACACCTTGCACTTCTCCTAATTCTTGGTTGAGTTCCAACAGTATAGATTCAGTCAAATTTGTTGTTTTACTGTGTGCACAGGCCAGCTTAGATATCTCCTTCTTCATTCCAATGGCAAGTCCAGGAACCGGTGGGATGGATGCAGCTACAACTGCAGCATCGCCTGGATCTTTGGTGAGGTTTTTTGATGATCATCTTCTGGTATGACTCTTCCAGAGAGTGCTGATGTTGGAAGTTCTTCTTCATATCGTATCTTAGTTCATTTTCTGGGTAGCCAAATTAGGCTTTGATCCTCTGTATAAACACAAATAGACCCTTTGCCCTCACTTTGATATGCCCCTTAGACCATTGTGTAGAACTCATTGGAGGTCACCACACAGGAACTACTTTTTTTTTTAAGAGAAAGGAATATTATCAGAAAAGTGTACCTCTATAGCTGATCATCTGACACCCTTTAAGTGATCAAAATTAAGGATATTTAAAGCATGTGTTTCTTATGACTCATTGATTCACAGTATAATATTTATAGCTGAGTATTTTTAATTACATACAGGAAAAATTAATCATCTTCATTCTTCCATGTTGCTACTCTACCTCATAAGTGCTTCCTGAGTTCTATCATCCCCTGTAGCAATGTGATCACATATAAGGGGGAAGGCAAGGATCCTGCAATCAAGTCATTGGGCCAGCATTTGGGGTGAAGAGTGGAGTGCAGTCCTGTAGGACAGCAGCTGCCAACTGAGGAATCTGGTGCTCTCTCTGAGCAGAGAGCAGGATTGAGTTTAGGTCATGGATGTCCTGCTTGGTGTCCACAACTACTTGGTGTGCCTGGGTTAAGAAGCTCCTCCCACCACCACACACTCAAACATTGAGACCAAAATCTCCATTCGACCGACCCTGTTTATTTTAAATGACATGGAATGGGTTTCATTTTTCTGCTATAACATTATGATTTATGTATGCTCTTGAAGATCTAATTGAATGTGGTCAAAACATTTGATTTTCACAAGAACAATTGATTTATATGTGTTGAGAGAAATGGCTCTATTTGGAATTTGACATATGTATTCACTGTGCACTTCAAGACACTGTTCTTATTTCCTCATTTTGTTTTCTTGTTAAATTTTTAGATTATTGTTCAATCTGTTTTTGGAGGTTCTATTTTCAGAACCTTGTAGTTCGTAACCTAGATATTGCTGCATAATTTAAAAAACTGTTCACAGTGTGGAATTATTTAATACTGTTCACTTATGCTTTGATGTTATAAAGGAATAATGTCATTAATCATATCCCTCCAAGTTTTGAGATTGCTGACATGTATTTTAAAAAATAACCATGCATCAGTGGTTATTTGTGGATAACTCAAAAATATTTCACAAACTGAACTACCCCGGTACCCTATTTCTTTTGAAATAACAGCACATTTTCAGCCTGGCAGATGGCTGCACTCAGTCATCACCCTTAAGGGTGACTGATATTGTCACATCTGACATTGAAATCTCTTTCTCCTTCTTAAGTATCTATAAATGGAATTATAGCATGAACTCTTTTGCTATTTTGATTTCTCATACATGTTCTTTGTCCATTTATTTATGGTAT